ATGTGTGTGTTGTGTGTATGTGCACATGTGTGTGTTGTGTGTATGTGCACATGTGTGTGTTGTGTATGTGCATATGTGTGTTGTGTGTATGTGCACATGTGTGTGTTGTGTGTATGTGCATATGTGTGTTGTGTGTATGTGCACATCTGTGTGTTGTGTGTATGTATGATAATAATCAAGAATCTGGGCCATCAGTTTCAGAGGATGACGGGGATAGAGGAGAACTTGATGGAGGAAAAGGAAGAGGAAATGATGTAATTATATTTCAATTATCCTTTTTTTAACGAGCAGGGACTTGGTGGGGGGGGGTCATTCATTCGAGACAGTGTTTGCCACCTGAGTTCCAGCCGGCTGTGTGAGGTGGAGACGGGTAGGTTTCTGGAGCTATCTGGTTAGCCAGCCTAGCCTAACCTGCAAGCCCCAGACCCCAGTGAGAAACTCTGCCTAAAGGAACAAAACAGAGCATGGGGCATAACTTTAATTCCAGCACTCAGGGAACAGAGGCAGGCAGATTTATGTGAGTCTGAGGCCAGCCTGGTCTACAGAGTGAGTTCCAGGACAGCCAGGGCTACACAGAGAAACTCTGTCTCAGAAACAAATGACAGAACCCAAAATTCAGGAAAGATAACTGAGGTCACTCTCTGGCTTGCATGCACACAGAGGTTTCTGGTTGCCATGCTATACAATAAAAATCTACGGGTCAGGAGTTTCATAAGGCAGTCGGCATTTATTTGAGTGGAGCAAGGCACTGTACATAAGGGAGAGAACTGGTGTCACTCCACGGAGGTCCTAAGCACAAACGGAGATGGAGCACAGAAGATACAGGTCTGGAGAGTGCCAGGAGTGTTTGCTCCCTCCCTCCCTCCCTCCCCCTGGCTCTGCTCACTGCTTGCCCAGCCTGGGAGCCTGGACAGCATCTGTGCCTTTTGGGATGGGCTAAGGAGGTGTGCAGCTTTACTGCACACAGCTCTTGAGGCTGGTAGAGGGTGAGACCAGAGTCTCCAAGGCTGCACATCCATCAAACTGGAGACTTCCCGACTTCCCCTCTACAACATCCACCACTCCCCACTGGAGACTCAGTGTGGGAGTGGGAGTAATGGCAGAAGGACGGCCTAGAGCTGAGGTGCTGGTGCCAGCCTGTAACCCTAACAGCAAGCAGACAAAGGCCGGAAGATTGCCGTGGGACTTTGGTCAACCTGGGCTAAACAGTGAATTCAGGGCAGCCAGGGCTCTATAGTAAGACTGTCTCAAGAGGACAGAAGAAAAGCTGCGAGGGATTGGGGAGCTGATTTCACTGGGAATGAATGTGCTGGATGAGAACCCTAGTTCAGCTCACTAGCGCCCAAATAAAAGACCGGCAGGTAGCGGGCACACATCTGGGGAGCTGACCCAGGGAAATTTCCCTGGCTTGCTGTCCAACCAGTCTAACAAACTGACGAGCTCTACATTCAGACAGTGACCCTGTATCAAGATGAGGTGAAGGGTGCAGAGATATGTTCAGCAGAGGAACCAGGTTTGGATCCCAGCACTCACGTGGTGGCTCCCAACCACCGTAACTCCAGTTCCCGGGGCTCTGATGCCCTCTTCTGACCTCTGTGGGCCTCAGGCACACGTGTGACACACAGACACATATATACAGGCAAATACACTCATAAAAGAAACCAATCAGTTTTTTTCTTTATTTGAATAGTAAAGTATAGAGCAATAGAAGATGCTAGAATGACCTCTGGTCTCCACAGTCACGTGCACACTGTTCTACAAACACATATGCAGAGACATGTGGCCCCCACAGGAATTTCTAATGGTCTAGAAGCTTCCTTAGAAGCTTCTGCATCCCTCCCAAAGTCCCTAGTACCTTTTTCTTTTCTCTTTCTTTCTTCCTTCCTTCCTTCCTTCCTTCCTTCCTTCCTTCCTTCCTTCCTTCCTTCCTTTCCTTTTTTAAATTCTGTGTTTTCATTTTTTCTTCAATCATTCATTCAGCAAATCTTAAGGTACTGACTGTGTGCTGGACCACTGTTGGAGTGCCTTGCCAGTGCTATACCTACAGACAATAGCTGGCCAAGTGGAAAAGATGACTTTAAGTGGCGATGGGGACCATGGCCACGGACAATCAAGGACAGGAAGACACTTGAGAGCTCTGTTCATGCCTTCTCAGCCACTACCTGAAACGTCCGCTCAGCACAGCCCCTGGGCCCACCTCAGCCTCCCTCTCCTGACTTTTCCTTGCCCCACACCTGGCCAAGTCCTGGATTCTGTGCTTATTCAAAGCATGAGACCCAACCCTTTCGGCCAGCGGGAAAACCACAAACAAAACGTCCTCTCCCTCCATCTAAGGCCCTTTCCCCTAGTTGTCTGGGAAGGGGCAGAACTGAAAACCAACCAGACCAATGAGGCAGCAAGCAGCACTGAGCAAGCATTGGCCCAAATTGGAAAATATGTTGACCAGGGTGACCAAGGCCCAGAATTTGATAGTCCCTCACTGTTGCCCTCACCCTTTGGGGGAGGGGGTGTAAATCCCAGAGCTCTGCTAACAGAGCCACCCACAGAAGCCTGGATATGTTGGGTGCTCTGTTTGAATCCCCCTGGCCCCACTCTCAGCTACTGTTTTGCTAAGGAGGTTTTCTCTTCCTTGGATAGGAGCAGAATGCTCTCTCTGCCTCTCAGGGATGCCCACTGAGCTATTTGCTCTCTTAATCTTGTCTTTACTCAGTCTGATGGTGTTTCCAGGACATTTTCTGTGTGCTTGGTCTCGGAACCCTGAGGGGAAAGTGTGGGAGGCACAGAGGAGTGCCCAGTCCCCATCCCAGCTGAG